ACCTCCGCTGAGGTTGCTATGGAAATCACACTAGTTTGTGTCTCGTGTTTTTCTTACCAACCTGATTTGTAAAAGAATGGTGTGAATTTAGTGCTGGCTGAGTTCCCAGCTGGCCGCTGGTCCTGGAAGGCATCCTTGCAGTCTCAGCCCTGGCTGGAGCAATGCAAACAGCTTCCTCCCCGCTGTCTGCCAGCTCCCCAGCCCCTGTGCCTGCGGCTCTCCCAACCTTGGGTTGTCTTCAGCACACCAGGGCAGAAACCATCCATGCCGGGCTGCACTCAGCCCTGCCAGGGAGACACTGGCTCTGGCTGCAGAGACCATACCAGGTCCCCTGTCCCCTCTGTCACCACATTCTGTTTTACAAAGCAGAATTGCTGCAAACCGATTGAGTTTCCTTTTGCTGAGTCCTAAGCACATCTAATCCCTAATGTTTCACCCTGTCTCTTCCTCACAGCCACTCCTGCAAACACCCATCTTCCCACAGCAGGGCTGTGAATGATGAGCTGCCAGCACTTGGCCCTCCCGTGCCAGTCCCCATGGGAGGAAGGCAGAATGGCAGCCTGAGGACTGCAGGGAGCAGCTGGACTCACTTGCCCAGAACGTGGCTTGTTCCAGCCACAGCTCACAGCCCCAGGAAACAAACAGACACCTGCCTGTCATCAGGCAGAGCCCCTGCAAACTGCGGGGCAACAGACCTGGGAACATCTCACTCTCAAACTACAGGGTGTTGGTGCAGACTCGATGTATTCTGCATTATTTACTTTTAAAAAATCTGGGGAGGGGGGCAAGACAGTTTCTTAAGTCATGCAAAAATAGAAAGTATTTCATCAAAATACAAAGCCCACAAAATCAGAGTGCTGGGCTGGGATCTGGGCAGGACTGGGCTTACTGGGGTCAGTGGATTTGCATTAGAACAGGGCAGTGTTTTCATAGGTCAGTGCGAACAAAACTCAGCTCCCTGCTCTTCATCAAAGAAGCTCATTTGTGTTTCTGAGGAGTTCTCTTAGCAAAGGGATCCTTCTGGAAGCACTGCAGTCCTTTGCTGAGACAGAACCTGCACGTCAGGCAGGAGCAGCCGTGGAGCTCCAACACCCACGTGAAACGTGGGCAGCTGCTCTGCTGAAATCCCTTTGCATTTTTGTCCTGTTCATGGTGTGTGCCAGGGCACAGCTCAGCACCAGCATCCCTGCAGCCCCTTCCAGCATTCCTGCAGCCCAGCCCAGCATCCCTGCAGCCCATTCCAGCATCCCTGCAGCCATTCCAGCATCCCTTCAGCCCAGCCCAGCATCCCTGCTCCCTGCAGCCATTCCAGCATCCCTTCAGCCCAGCCCAGCATCCCTGCTCCCTGCAGCCCATTGCAGCACCCCTGCAGCCCAATCCAGCATCCCTGCAGCCATTGCAGCATCCCTGAAGCTCAGCACCTTCATCCCTGCAGCCAGTCCAGCATCCCTGCAGCCCATTCCAGCATCCCTGCAGCCCAATCCAGCACCCCTGCAGCCCAATCCAGCATCCCTGCAGCCCATTGCAGCATCCCTGCAGCCATTGCAGCATCCCTGAAGCTCAGCACCTTCATCCCTGCAGCCAGTCCAGCATCCCTGCAGCCCATTCCAGCATCCCTGCAGCCCAATCCAGCACCCCTGCAGCCCATTGCAGCATCCCTGCAGCCCATTGCAGCATCCCTGCAGCCCAGCCCAGCATCCCTGCAGCCATTGCAGCATCCCTGCAGCCCATTGCAGCATCCCTGCAGCCATTGCAGCATCCCTGCAGCCCAGCCCAGCATCCCTGCAGCCATTCCAGCATCCCTGCAGCCCAGCCCAGCATCCCTGCAGCCATTGCAGCATCCCTGCAGTCCAATCCAGCATCCCTGCAGCCCAGCCCAGCATCCCTGCAGCCCCTTCCATCATCCCTGCAGCCATTCCAGCGTCCCTGCAGCCATTCCAGCGTCCCTGCAGCCCACTGCAGCATCCCTGCAGCCATTGCAGCATCCCTGCAGCCCAGCCCAGCATCCCTGCAGCCCCTTCCATCATCCCTGCAGCCATTCCAGCGTCCCTGCAGCCCACTGCAGCATCCCTGCATCCCAGCCCAGCATCCCTGCAGCCATTCCAGCATCCCTGCAGCCCATTGCAGCATCCCTGCAGCCATTCCAGCATCCCTGCAGCCCAGTCCAGCCCCCCTGCAGCCCAGTCCTTCTCCAGCCCTGGGCAGAGGGCACTGCTGGCACAGAATCCAGCCCACACGCTGCTGAGGCTGCTTTCCCCTTGTTTCACCATCAAATCTCTGCATTCCATGCTGTTTTGTCCTGCCCCTGCCCTTCCAGCCACCCTGTGAAAGGAAAGGGATGTTTTCCAGCCAGACCGATGCTGTAATTAGTCAATTTGCTAATAAGCTGAGGTGTGAATGGCTTTGTGTGAGGCAGGAGGAGCAGCTGTCCCCAGGCACAGCCCTCGGTGTCACCTCCCCAGCTGCCCAGCTCCTGATGGATGAGCTCTCCGGGAGCCGTGAAAAGGCTCTGGTGACTTTTGGGGAGGGAATGTTTTTGTGAATGGATCACGACACAAGCATGGCCTGATTACCGAGCTGAGCAGCTCCCTCCACCCCCCCAAAAGCCATGTGTTAGCTGCGTCTGTCACTGCTTAGCTGTCACAGTACAGTCTGGGACAATGCTCCAGTTTTCCCAGGGGATTCTCAGCAGAAAAGAGCACACTAGGAAGACACACAACGTCAGAGCATGAGGCACAGTCTCCCAGGAGAGATGGAGGCAGGGGAGGGGGAATGACAGGCCATGGGAGATGATAGCACAGGCCTTTAGCGAGGGAGGGGCATTTTCACAGCCCAGGGCTGCTCATTCCCCATTATCCTGCACTACTGACTGACCAGACAAAGTAAATACCAGACTGGAAGGAGAGGAAACCCCGTCCTCTACAGCCTGGACCCACCTTCCTCCTCCCTCTGCTCCCTTCCTCCTCTTTTCTCAGTGCACCCCAGCAGGCAGAGACAGACCCAGCCTGCTGCCCAGAGATACCAACAGGGTCTGCACACATGAGACATCACAGCATCCTCCCTCTATTTTTCCTTTTTTTTTTTTTTTTTTTTTTTTTTTTTTGGTAGCAAAATCCAGCAAAGCCCAAAGCTCTTGCTCGCACGCTGTTGTTTTTGCAAGTGATTTTATTTTAAAACCGGAACTTGAGTTCTCCATTTGTTTAACAAGTCATCCCCCCCCCCCCTTTTCTTTTTTTAAATAAAATTAATTTATTCTACACAACAGTAAACTCTTCCAGGCTCTTCCCTATTTACAAATTAACATTTTTTGCTTGCAGATCATCGCTTCCCCCTCATTTTCCTATCCTGTGCCACAGAAAGTGAGAAACAAAGCCAAAATCTGAAGGTCTGTAAGGCAGTGCTCCCATCCAGCCTTCGGGAAGAACCAGTGATGATGTCTCTGTCAGATCTGGAGATCTCCCCTCATCCACCATGTGTGTTAACCCATCAACCAAGAGCATCCAGCCTCTCCCTGCTCCTCTGAGCTGTGTGAGGAAGGAGAAATGCCCTCAACAGAGCAACCTGCTCCTGCTGCCCTCTGAAGGGACGTGTCTTTGAGGAGAAGGTGGCATGTGCTGCAGGAATGGGATCCACCAGGATGGTCTCACACCACAGGAGGAGCCTTGGAGACACCTCACCTGTCCTCTTGTGAGTCAAGCACTGGGGACATGCTTTGCTAGCTCAGGAAAGAAGGCACCTAATAAATAAAAATTTGTCCCAATCCAATTCCAGGCAAATTCAAGGGGTTTTTTTGAGGTTGTGGCTTGGCTTGTACCTCTTTGAACTACCTGGTAACTTCTAGGGTCTGCTCTACCTGGAGACCTGTCCAAAGCCACCGGGCTGAGGTCCTGTGAGCACTGTCACTCATGTCACTGCCACAGGAGCAGCCAGGAGTCCTGGTGCTGGGTAACACAAGCTCTGTCAGCCAAACCAAGGGGATGTACAAACACTTTGTCTGCAAGCAAAACTGCCCTTCTGAAGCATCTCCCACTCCCCATGAGGCACAAACCTGGCTGGTAAAACCATCCTCAGGGCTTCCATGACCTGTTGGAAAAGAATCAATGTAGTGTTTTTATTCCTGGGAGTCCAGCCAGGCAGGAATACCTGCTTTTACCTGCAAAGCAAAGCTGTCCCTCACCTCTGGACACAGCCCCTGGTCTCTGCCTGACCCCCCAAAACATCCCAAATGACCAAAAACTGATGTAAAGAGGAGGTGTTGTCATGTTTTCCAAGGAATGGAAAATATTGCTCAGCTGTGGCAGAGAGCAGGCAGAAGGCTGATGCCCTTGTGGAGAGATTAGGTTTTGAAAAATCAAGGAAGAAAGGGAGGATGAAAGGGTTATCCAGGGATTCTCTGTTACTACAGCAAGGAGAGAAAGGAAACAAAGGGACAGAAAAGGCAGGACAGCAGGACAACCCTTCCTTGAATGCAATTCATTGAGCTTTGGACAAAAACCTTCTTCTGTCAGAGGGTAAGAAACGTGCCCCAGAGGGAGCCCAAAAGCCAGCCCAGATAAACCCTCAGGCCCTCTCAGTGCTCCATGTGTGTGAGAAGAGTTTCTGCATGGACATCTGACACATGTCCATGCTCATCCCAGAGTGCCAGAGTCCCTTGGCAGCTGGTTTGCAGGGCGGTGCCAGAGGATGTTGGCCATGCTGGGCTCTGGCCCCAGCGGGGACATGCCAAGGTGCCTTGGCTGGAGGATGGAGCCTGGCACAGTGCTGGGTGCCATCCCACAATGGGCACAGCCAGGAGGAGCTGCAGGGAGCCCAGCTCAGCCCTGGGAAAGAAAGCTCTTGGTCCGGAGGGAAGGAGAAGAGGCTGCAAGCTCCAAAATGGCACTGACTCTGAATTTCAGCCTCCCACACTGCCAGCCCTGGGGCTGGTACCAGGTCCAGCAGGGACATTGCCCAGCAGTGACACAGGGCATTGCCCAGCAGTGACACAGGGTGTGGCCCTGCAGAGACACAGGGCATTGCCCAGCACTGGCACAGCTCCCACAAGCAGCAGGGATCGAGGAGCACATCCCATCCCGGCTGGGTGGCTGGTGGTAGCAGGAGGAGGTGGCGAGGCCGGTGCAGGTGAGGGGCACAGCTGCCCCGCTGTCCCCCGTGCCCGGGGGGCTCAGTAGAAGGAGTACTGGTTTTCCACGGCCCGGGTGCGGCTCCGGGCGCTGTCAGCCTCGTGGTAGTCCTCGGCGCCGGCGGCAGAGGGCTCCGGCCGGCGCTCGGCGCTGTCGCTGCGGCTGCGGGGGCCCAGGGCACCCTCCAGGCGGTGGTAGGGTGCGGGGGCCGGGGCGGCGGGGGCCACGGGCACCCCTCCCTCGGCGGGCGGCGGCGGGCCCGGGGGGGCTGTGCTGCAGAAGTAGTGTGGAGGTGGCAGGTCGACCCGGCAGCCCGGGGGCTGCGACACCAGGGGCGGCGGGGGGCCGGTGTCTGCAAAGGAAACACGAGCTTGACTCTTGTGCTGCCTGCGGGCTCGGCCCCCTCCCTCTGGTACCTTCCCACACCCCCTCTCCATCCCTGACCCTGTTCTTGTCCAAGTCTCCTTCCTGCTCTCTCCCAGCACAACAATGCTCTGAGCCTGCAGACATCTCTGCTCCTGTCCTGCCCGAGCCAGGGCACTGTCACCCATAGGGATCACAGGGGACTGTCACCCACAGCCACGGACAGGGGACACAGGGCACTGTCACTCATAGCCAGGGGTCGCAGGGCAGTGTCACCCACAGCCAGGCATAGGGGTCACAGGGCACTGACACCCACAGTCATGGTCAGGGGTAACAGTGCACTGTCACCCACAGTCAGGGGACACAGGGCACTGTCACCCACAGCCAGGCACAGGGGTCACAGGGCACTGTCACCCACATCCAGGAATCACAGGGCACTGTCACCCACAGCCAGGGGTCACAGGGCACTGACACCCACAGCTGGGGCTCACAGGGCAGTGTCACCCAGACTGGCACAGGGGTCACACCAACACAGCCCTGCTGCTGCCTGGCCTCAATGCCCACCCCCAATGAGTGACACCCACCCTGGCACACCTCCAGAGCCACACACATCCGCAGGGCGCTGCTTTAGGGAGGGAATCCCACGGATCTGTCCCTTTTCAGGGACAATACCCCAGTCCCCGGCAGCCTGGCACCCACCTGGCTGCGGGCTCTGTGCCACCACGTAGCTGCGCAGGGTGATGTCGGCGGCGCCGCCCGACTCCAGCGGGATGGGGTGCGTGTGGAAGTGGCGCAGCATGTCGAAGATGGTCTGGAACCAGAGGTGCTGCACGTGGCACTGCCCACTCTCGTTCAGCGACAGCCGCAGGTGCTGCAAGGGCAGGGGCACGGGGTGAGCTGGGGGTGTGAGGGTGACACTCACCCTTGCAGTCTGCACCTCCATCAGCCAAGGGAGGTGTGCTCCCAACAGGATTGTTGTCGCAGACATCTTTTTATTAAAAATCCTTTCTTAGGATTTTTCCTTCTGAGAAGCTGAGAGGCCTCAGAAACAAAATGTAAACAATGGTTATCTGCTGCTGTGGAATGAACAGGTGGATCTGTGATTGGTCTCGTGTGGATGTTTGGAATTAGTGACCACTCACGGCAGAGCTGGCTCTCTCTCTCTGTCCGAGACACAGACCTTTGTTATGATTCCTTTCCTTTCTATTCTTAGCTTAGCTAGCCTTCTGAGAGGAAACTTTTCCTTCTATTCTTTTTAGTACAGTTTTAATGTAATATATATATAACAAAATAATAAATCAAGCCTTCTGAACATGGAGTCAACATTCTCGTCTCTTCCTCACCTGAAAACCCCTGTGACCACCCTCACAGATTGTTGTGTTTACCCTGCTGCAGAATGTTTCCTGTAAAACCTTTTACACCCAGTGTACCTCACTTTTACCTCACTAAAGCCCCAGGAGCAGTTTGACCCCTCCTGGATGAACACCATAAAGAAACACACACAGAGAAAGGTGTCTGGGTATAACCAGGAGCAGCTGAAGCTCTGATTCTGGGGGTCACAGACAGCCTGGAGAAGCCTCCAGCCCACCTGAACTACTTCTTGCAAGGTGACAAGAACAGGCAGCCTCTGCTAGAAAAGGGACCCAGCAAAAAGCTGCTTGTGGTTGGTTTTTCATAGTGCATCTGGGTATTTCAGGGCATGGAACAGACAAGAAGAGGGCAGGAGAAGGTGTGCCAGGCTACACTGAGCCCCCATGGGTATTTATCCATATGCTCACATGACAGGCACTGATCCAATTGGGAAAGTGTAGAAGGGGCTGGGCAGGATGCAGAAGGGTCTTGGGGCACAAGGGCAGGTGGTCCTGAGGGATTCCCTGCTGGGGTACAGTTCCCTGCAGAGCTGCTGCATTTGGGGTCACCCACAGAGCAAGAAGGAACCTGAGGTGCTGGGCAGGGCTGGCACTAACATGTTGGGGAAGATGAAACAGGAAAGCCTTATAAATATGATTGCCTGGCAAAAGATTTTGAGAATATGGAAACTATAAGTGAGATTGAAATGAAAGCAAGCTTTGGGATACCTCAGTTACTGAACAACTGGAAAACAATGGTGTGGCCAGCTGAAGGTAATCCCCTATTGATGGACCTGCAGACAGGCCCAAGGGTCAGAGCAGACCCTGCCAGCTTGGCAGAAGGGGCACAAAGAGGAGTTTTTAGGGTTTAAAATGTAACACAGTATGGTAATGTAATGATTCCTACACGCTATATGTAAATGCTGTAGGATTTGTGTCTTGTACTGGATTGGTTAGTGAGAATGAGAATATTCAACATGGAAGAAGATTTATTGTATTGTAACGGGAACTTTGCTCTCTTGCCTTTTACTCTTACCCCTTTTGCTCTCTTACCCTCTCATCCTCTCTCCCCCTCTCTTCTCTGAGGCCTGCTCCAAGCTGCAGCTGGCAGCTCCCAGCAGGGCCCTGCACCCAGGCCCTTTGCAATAAACCACAAGTTCCACAACCGGGCTGCAGAGATCTCTGCTCTCTGTCTGTCCCGACCGTGCTACCCCCGTTGCTCCTACACTGGCATTTACGGAGACGCAGAGCAGAGGGAGAAACAGAAGAGAGGGAGGAGCAGAGGACAGGGAGGAGCAGAGGACAGGGAGGAGCAGAGGACACCCACCTTGGCTTTGCCCTGGAAGTTGAAGGTCAGCACGTACTCGCCCGGCCGTGTCTCGCTCTGCCGGATGACGAACAGCCCGTGGCTGCGGGCGCCCCCAAACAGCACCAGCTGGGCTGCCTTGATGCGGGACAGGGTCCCGTGGAACCAGGGGAAGTCGGACAGGTTGATCTCAGCCTCGGCCTCGCTGTCCTCCCCTGCCCACAGGGACAGCAGGTTTTTAGGGAGCACCTGAACATCATCCCCCCATCTCCTCTCCCTCTGTGCACCCTCCAGAGTGAGGTGGGTGCTGCATCCTGCATCCCAGTACCTGTGAGGTGCCCACCAGCAGTAGGGGAGGATTCCAGCGTCTGCAGGAAGTTTTCCAGTGGGACGTGGGTGAGGAGCTCCCCCAGGGAGTCCCTGCCCCGGCCGGGGGGCACGGGGACAGAGGTGGCCATGGCAGCGTTGTGAGAGATGGGCAGGGCACATCTGTCTGGTGGCCTGGGTGCCTCTGGAAGGGAGATTGCATGAGATGAGTGCATGGCTCAGTATCACCCGCCTGCTTTGCAGGTAACTGTGCTGGATTCTCCTGGATCTCAGAGACACCTGAGGGCTAGGTTATGGCTCTGAGGGAGTCCCAGACCTTCCCAGATGTAGTTCCTTACCATCATTCAGGAACTCGCAGCTGGACGAGGTTGTCCTGCCTGGCAGACAGGGTCCCTGTGCACAGGACACCAGCTCAATGTCGTCCCCACTGTCCCTGGAGGAGAGCACAGACAGACACACACATGTGACACCTCCACTCACTGGCATGGAATGGGGATTTGGCCAAACAAAATTCCAGTGTGATCCAAGAGCACATCCTATTGCCCCTGAATTCCTCCCAAGGGGTTGCCACTGCACCAAGAGCATTGAGAGGCAGAGCAGCCACCAAACATGACTTTTTGGGGGTGAGAAACCAACGTGGGAAGGGTTAAACCCTCGAAAGCCCACACTGTTGGTCATGTTGGTCGGTTCCAGCTGCAGGATTTGCTGCAGGATTTTGTGGGTTTGGAAGGAAAGCTGTTACCTTGACTCTCAGTGCTTTGCACCCACACACCTTCCCACCCGAGGGCGCTTTCACTTTCACCCTCTGCAAAGGGAATTACCCACCCACAGGAATTCCATCCCTAAAAGACATAAACCACTAAGTCAGGAGAGGCCTGGAGCAAGACAGCAAGCGGGAATAGAGCCAGGGAGCCACTCAGAACATCCCTGTTGCCAGCCCTCCCCGTGCACTTCAGCACCCTTCTTGCACAAGCATCTGACTTGCTCCACATCCTATTTTTATCCCAGCCACCAGCAAGAGTCCAGAGCTGCCCACAGCACTCAGCAGCTCTTGCTTCACACACAGGGCCACGTGGGCACAGGCAGCAGGGGAAGCTGCTGAATTATTTAGTGGCCAGCGAGTGAATCAGCCATTGGGAGTCATTCAGCTGCAGCCAGTTAAAAACAAGAAGGGAGGAAGGAAACCAAAACCAACAGAGCTCTGCAGAAAAGCCGTGGCTGGGCGCTCAGGAGGCAGCTCCAGCACGCAGCCCTTGGCAGGAGCATCGGGAGCTGATTGAGAATTCGCTCTTGGCGCCCGGCGTGTGTGGCGGTGTATTAAACAGCTCGTTATTATTTGCTCTGCAGTTCATTATTATTTGCTTTACAGTCACGTCCGGGGGCCAGAGCGGGCTGGTGCTGGGTGCTAAGCAAACAGAGAGGGCTGGGAGGCTGCCAGGGGCACAGCCAGGGCCAGAGCCAGGGGCTGGCACGGGGACATGAGCGGCTCCTGCGGTGGCTCGAGGGCAGCACGGCCGTGGTGCTCAGCTCCAGCTGGAAAACCAACACTGAAACATGGAGTGAGGGAAAAAAGGCCTTCTCACAGCCTCACATCAGCAGGCCAGCCTCAGCAGTGCTTTTAGAGTAATAGAATCACAGAATGGTTTGGGTTGGAAGGGAATTTAAAGCTCATCTCGTTCCACCCCCTTGCCATGGGTAGGGATACCTTCCACTAGCCCAGGTTGCTCCAAGACCTGTCCAACCTGGCCTTGGATACACTTCCAGGGATGGGGCAGCCACAGTTTCTCTGGGCAATCCATGCCAATGAATTACAGATTTCAGAAAACAGGAAAAGGAGCAAAGATCTGGAGTGCACCAGTGCATCCTCCATGGTGACCAAATGCCTCTCTGTAGCAGGAGGGGGCAAAGGCAGTCTGGAGGGAACAGGAGCCTCTCCAAGCCTCTGTTCCACATTTGAGTGATGTTTTCACTACTACAAGTTTTGGTTGTTCCAAAACTGTGCCAAGAAAGGCAGTGCCAGGGTTTCCCCAAGGCTGGGCCTGTCTGAGCCAGCAGCACCAGGCACACAAACCTCCCTGACACAACTTGCTGCAAGTGCTGGTGAAACAGCAGATGAGAAGTTTTGGCTGAGTTATGACTCCAATGACAACACTGATGCCACTGAGATAGAAATACAAATAACTCAAACCAGCAGAATTTTAGATATATCATGGATGCTAAGCTGGAAAAAACCATGGAAAATAGCTCAAATATGGTATAAAAGATTCAGAAGGTGGGTGTCAGGAGCTTCCTGCTTTGAGACTCTGTTTCCAGGTCACCTGCCTCTGCCAGGCTGAGGAGATGTGGGGCAGAGAAGGGTGAACAAGTGGCCAGTGCTCTGCATCCCTAGCAAACACAGGCTGCTAACTCTGCCTCCAGACCTCTGCTGCTGTGAGCTGGGCACTTCCTGTGACAAGCCAAGCAGCAAAAATTGCATCTGGGTAACAGCCCATGCTCAGGCAGCAGAACCCAGCCCCACAGAGCCCCTGCCCAGCAATCCTTACCCAGGGTCGATGCAGTCCTGGATATCAGCCACCCACGAGTGCTTCTGCAGGGAGTCGATGGTCTCCAGGATGTACTCGGCCCCATTCTCCACCTGCAGGCCAGGTGGGATGGAGTCAGCTGTGCCAGGCTGCTGCCCCCCATCCCGAGGGAAAACACAGCCCAGAGCCCAGCCAGACCCATGAACAGCACCTCAGCTCAGCAGGAGAGGAGCAGTGTCCCACCCCAGCACAGCATAGGGGTGACAAAGTGTCCCATCCCATCCCATCCCAGCACAGGGTGACCCAGAGGATCAGTGTCCCATCCCATCCCATCCCAGCACAGGGTGACCCCAGAGGATCAGTGTCCCACCCCATCCCAGCACAGGAGTGACCCCAGAGGAGCAGTGTCCCACCCCATCCCAGCACAGGAGTGACCCCAGAGGAGCAGTGTCCCACCCCATCCCAGCACAGGAGTGACCCCAGAGGAGCAGTGTCCCACCCCAGCACAGGGTGACACAGGGGATCAGTGTCCCACCCCATCCCAGCATAGGGGTGCCAAAGGATGACCTAGGAGATCAGCGTCCCATCCCACCCCAGCACAGGCGTGACAAGGGGTGACCCAGGGGATCAGTGTCCCCAGAGCCCAGCACAGGGTGACACAGGGGATCAGTGTCCCACCCCATCCCAGCACAGGAGTGACCCAGAGGATCAGTGTCCCATCCCATCCCATCCCATCCCATCCCAGGAGTGACCCAGAGGATCACTGTCCCACTCCATCCCAGCACAGGAGTGACCCAGGGAATCAGTGTCCCACCCCACCCCAGCACAGGGGTGACCCCAGAGGATCACTGTCCCACCCCACCCCAGGACAGGAGTGCTGAGGGCTGACTCATAAAGATGCATCCAATCTGACTCCTGACCAAATCTAGCACTCAGAGGAAAACCGCACTGCACCACTATCAGCAAATACAAGATTTTTACAAGGTTTTTACAGCCTCCAAGGAAAAAACCACACCTGGCTGGCAGCACTGGGTACATGGCACTGTGCCCAAGCACAGACAGCATCCCTCACTCCTGGGGCACCTCTGTGTCCCGCCCAAAACTAGCTCTGCACAGCTGTAGCAGAAGCCACACTGCTCTCTGCCCCAAAACCCTGCCAGACCCAGGAGTTTTAAACCTCTCCTTCATTATCTTTTCTGCCTGCTGGTCCATGAGGATTCTGACTTCTGATTGCAACAGAGTGGGAGAGAAACCCCCTTTCACAGGGAAAAAAATAATAAATAAAAATTAGGACACAAAAGAGCCTCCAAACTATCCAGCCCAAAGGAGCTGTGCCATTCTGGGGCCGGGCAGAACCAGAAGCTCCACATCAGTGGACTCAGATGCCATGGGATGCTCTGTGCCTCTGGCAGCTTTCCCTGAATCCCTCATGGAGCCTTAAACATCATGTTCTGAGGTGGCAGAGAAGCCCTGACTCTGGGAGAGTGTCACACTGCCAGCTGAGACAACCTCCAAGCAAATTCAATTAATCACAAACAACTGAATCACCATCCTGAAAATAAGCAGGGAGGGCAGGGAGCAGAGCCCTGGCTGGGGCTGAGCAGTGACCTGGACCCCAGCAGAGGTGGAGGGGAATAGCAAAGATCCCCCTCCCCAGTTTGTTTAACTTAAGAAAGGATCTTCTCAGGCTTTTTGAGGGCAAGGCATGAAGCTGACGTGGGAGATGGGGCTGCTCACTCATGCAGAGCATGACAGCAAGCAAAGCACGTGCAGGGCTTGGGTATTTTGCAAGCACCTGCTTGTGCAATGGAAAAAACTGCATGTGCTGGGTGTCTGACGGGCTCTGGGGACACGCTGGCTGCTCATTTTTAGGCAATCTGGCAGGAACTATTTCAGTGTGGCCTCCCCAAGCAAGGCAGGGGCTTTTCCAGCCACAGTAACATCCCTAAATGAGGCAGGGGCTTTTCCACCCATTATAACCTGTGTGTTGTGTGTGAAGGTTGAGATTGGACTCCACATCACACAGAAAGGGAAACCACTGCACCCAGCTTGCCCACCTAACCTGCCAAACTGAGGGTGCTTCATCCCCTCTGCAAATCCAGCCAGCAAAGGGGGAATGAGAGAGTAAAAAGATGTCCCAGCAAGGAGCCAGGCAGAAAATGAATCACAAATAATATTGGATGTGAGAAAAGGGGAGCAGCATTCTGTGCCAGCAGCTGGGAGGGGAGAGCAAAGCCTGGCTGGGGGGCTCCATGCTGTGCTTGCTGGCTCAGCTCGCTCAAAGGATCAATTGTGATCAATTCCCCTGGGCAGGGTGAGAGCCAGGACAGGGCAGGAGCAGGAGGTACCTGGTAGAGCAGGTATTTTCCAGCTGGCAGGGTTTGGAGCATTCCAGGAGTGCATTAAAGGAATGGCTGGAGCAGTCACCAAGCTGTTAGCAATGGGAGAGGGGAGACCATGTCTGACTTCAGAATATGGGAAGAGGGCAAGCACAGAATTTTCCTGCAGCAGCCAGAGAAACCAACCCTGACAGGCACCCAGGAGGCTGAAACCTCCTAGAAGGGATCTGTCATGACCAAGCCCATCTGCTCATGCTCAGGACAGCTCCAGGGATAGGGAGAAGCAGTGGCACATCCTGGGTGTTGAACCAGGATGAGGACATCAGCTTTGGACACTGATGTGACACATTTGACACATTTGAGGTGGGGCTTGTAAGGAGATCTAGAAAACGCGACAAGAACGTGATGAGCCACGTTCCAAGAGCAGAGATCAATGGCTGATGGGTTGTCAATGGCCAGTGGTCAAAGCTGAGGGATGTTCTCCTTTTCCCATCAAAGGCTCTCTGTGTGTGCTCCTCAGCGATGAGCACAAAAGGATGTGAGGACACCTGATCAATCCATGGATGACATCACACTGAAAATGTGTTGGAGGACCAGGCAAGAATTCAAATGGACTTGTCAAAGCTGAAGTGGAAGAAGAAGCTGAAACCAGCCTTGAGCTCAAGGACAGGGTGAGCCCTGGGCTCAGCGTGATCACAGTGGGGAAGCACGGCTTGGGAGCAGTTCTACAGAAACCACCCCAGAGTTACACCAGCCCACAGGCTGCCTGTGAGTCAACATCATCATCATCATGGCGTGAGGAAAGCACTGCATCAGCTTGGGCTGGACAGAGAGGAAGAAGAAAGGAGAAGCAATCCTTCCCATCTGCTCTGGGCCACAGCCTCATGTACACTTTGGGGCATTCCATCTACAGAGCCTGCAGGGAAAGCAAGGAGGAGCTTGGGCTGGTCAGTCTGGAAAATAGGAGACACTTGAGGCTGGCCTTTGAAGCACAGAAAACAACAGCTGAATGAGCCTCTGTGCCCATGGTGGGCACTGACCACTGCTGAGGCTGAACAGCAAGAAGCCCTTGGGGAAAGGGAAGGTGCCAGGAGAAGTTGTGTGACCTTGACAAGGAGCAGGATTTGATGGAAAGAAATTTCTCCTGGGAATGTGTGCTTGGGCCAGGTGGATTTCAAGGCTTGGGAGCTCTCATAAAGCCAGGCTCAATTTTCCCCCTTTTCTTTTCATAGTTTTCTAAGCTTTCAAGTAGGTTCATTCAGCCTGGCCTCTCTGTTCTGCATTGCCACACACTCTGGGGGAGAAGCATCAGGGAGAGAGGTGTTTAGAAGAGGTGGAACCCAGAAATGCTCAAATCTAATGGTCCATCACTGTCATGGTGTCCAAGACCCTGCAAAATTCAGCCCTGATCTGCCATGACAGGCTGTTGTCTTCCAGCAGAGCAGGAGACAGCACTGAGCTAATTATTTGCATGATATGGAAAATTCTGAAGAAAGAGACTTTCACTCTCTGCTCATGCCCCCAGACTCATGTGTGGTTGATCCCCAGGGTCTCATTTGCCCCACAGAGCTGTTACCACAGAATCACTAAGGCTGGAAAAGACCTCCAAGGTCATCAAGTCCAACCTTTGACCAGCTGCCACCTCATCAACCAGACCACAGCACGAAGGGCCATCACAGTGTGTCAATGAAACAGCCACCACATGTCACCGATCCGGGACAGCAGCAGCCACAAAACCACAAGCAGCTGCAGCAAGGAGCATTTTCCCTTGCAGGTTGTCTCAGATCACTGATTTAACCCATCTCCTGGTGACACAGAGAAGCCAAACCCCATGGTGAAAGCCAAACTTGATCCCAAAACACCCTGGTGTCACCTGGAGCAGGCAGGGATCCTCTGGGGAGCATTTGTGCTGTTGGCATCCCAGCTCTGAAAGCCAAGGCAACAATCCCTTTGGGGTCTGAGCCTCCTGCACTGCAGGGTGCAGGTGCAGGAGGGGGTTCCTGTAGGGATCCACACCCTGCTCTCACCTTTAGGACAAAGGTGTTGTCTTTGTCAGGCATCTCCAGGGGCATGGTGGTGCGCACCTCGATGATGGCCGACAGCGGGATGCTCACCTTGGGTTTGGAAGCCTGAGAAAAGGAAAAAAAAAAAATAGCAAAGAAAATAAATGAAAAGAAATCAATGAATTAAAAAAAAAAAAAGTCACTCAATTGAATCAAACTGTCCCTGGGGACAATGCAGCAGGGCTCTCAGAGGCAAGATCAGCTCAGCCTGTGTGGTTATTACAGAGGGGGAATAAACAGCATTGATTTCCCTCCTGTGCCTGATAACTCTGAGCTCTGTGAATTAAACCAAGAGGAGACCCAGTGGAAGACAAGGAGGTGCTTTTAACTGCCAAACCACCCTTCTTGCTCCAGCGCAGGCTGATGTGCCAGCTCTGCCAACACCACTTAATTTCTCTCCATTTTCAACCCTCTCTCGATGGAGAGAGCTGTGCTATCTGATGGGGGATGCTTCCCATGCAGAAAGCAGCCCCGTTTCTCCAGCACAGGAGCAGCATTTCAACCAGGCAGCTACAACACAGCAGCCTCAGCCATGCAGGGAATTTTAATTACATTAAAATAAAGAAAAATGAATTTCCCCCAGGGCCCCTGGCACCCGCCGGAGCCTCGGTGGGGAGGCAAGACCCGGTGCCTCCCACTCCCGAGTGTTTGCTGAGCAACAAATTCCCCAGATATTTGTTTTAATTATAACAAATCCCCACAAAGGCGCTCGTGGAGCTGCTCTCCAGGGCTGGTCCCCTCCAGGGCTCTGGGATTTGGAGCACTGCAGCTGCAGGAAGCAGAGATGAGATTTAGTCACCAGGACCTCGCCTGGTGCCGTGGATGCAGTGGGTGGGACGAGGCCAGCAAGGAGCTCCAGGCTGCAAGTTACCAATAACGGGCTCAGTTCCCATTTTTATTGGGAAATAAAAATAAATAAATCCAAGAGAGAACAGAAACTGCTTTTTCCCTTGCAGGATGTTTCGTTTTTGCCAGCCCCAGAGCCCCAGTGCTGCCTGCAGACACGTCTCAGCCCTGCAAGGCTCTGCCCATCCCTGGGGAATTTTTCCATCTCGGTGTTTGCACAGCAGAAGGTCAGAAAGGAAGCAGCAGCTGCTTTGAAAGGAAAGGAAACAAGGTGATAATTCACCCCTGAGCCAGAGAAGGGTCTTAGAATCACAGGATGGTGTGGGTTGGAAGGGACCTTAAAAGTCATCTCATTCCAACCCTCTCCTCTCCAGGAGGGTTCTTCCCTTTAGAGGTTTACAGACATGGCCATAGTTTTTGTAGGGTCTGTGTAAAAACAAAGCTGTGGGCTGCTGAAGCAAAAAAGCAGTTTTCTTCCAGCTGTGCCAGACTGGTGCCACTTTTACATTTGCCAGATGGAAAGCAAGATGGGATGAGAGAAGAAAGCTGTAAACCAAAGCGGGGTGTGATTATAACAGAAGAGCAGACAATGTTCATAAAAGTTGCCATAAAATAATTCCAAAATTGATTTTTAGAGGCAAATCAAGATACACTAAAAAAGGAATCTCTCTACGAGTTCTCTCTTAAATGTTTTAAGAGCAGCAGTTGTTCCATTTTAACCCAAGTTTATTTTCTCTTTGGTGCAGCTGATACACCAGGCTTCATTAGATCCTCTATCCACAGAATGGGTTGGAAGGAATCCTTTTCCACCCCCTTCCATGGGCAGGGACACCTTCCACTAGCCCAGGTTGCTCCAAGCCCCATCCAACCTTGCCTTGGGCACTTCCAGGGATGGGGCAGCCACAGCTTCTCTGGGCACCCTGTGCCAGGGCCTCACCACCCTCACAGGGTAGAATTTCTCCCCAATGTCCCACCTATCCCTTCTCTCTTTCAATTTAAAGCCATCTTCCCCTGTCCTGTCACTCTCTCCAGCTCTCCCATAGGCTCCCTAGTGGGCACCATGGACATTGGGGTTGTTTGCTTCCAGCCAGGCCCCATTCCTGGGCTGAGGAAGCCCCCAGTCCAGCCCAGAGCAATGCCCACCATCCGTACCCACGCTGAGCTGCTCTCCAGAGAGATGCATTTGAGTTCAAACTCATGTTTTATTGTTTTATATTTGCTCAAAAGGTGAGAGGCACAGACCAACACCAAGAGTGCAAGGTTCATTTTGGCCTGCAGGTTGGATGGGTTTCAAGCACATTTTCCAATCCATTTGCACCTCAGCCACACAGCACCAACTCTCCCTCTGGACCAGAGCTGGATTTCAGCCCAGCTCAGCAGTGGAAACAAAAAAAAGCCCTCAAAAGCTTGAATTTCTCATAAAAACAAAAGCCAGGGCTTACCTTTGGAGGGACATAAAACTCCAGGAGGAACCTCTCCCCTTCCACCTTCACCGCTTTGCGCAGCAGGAGGCGGCACTTCTGCCACTGCGAGCTGCCCACACAGTTCGTGTCATCGGCCACCATGTAGCGCAGCGTCCCCTCCCTCTGGATGTCCACCAGCTCCACCTTGGACGAGGGCACCTTGGATAGGCGCAGCTTGTGTGTCCATTTCTCCCGAGGGTCCCCAGGCTCCTTGCCCCCGGCCGGCCACGGCTCCCTCTCGGCTCTGCGCCCGCCCAGAGCAGCCTCGGCCCCCGGCTCTGGAGAGGATTTGCGGTGCCACATCTCCTTCATGCCATCCACCACGCACAGGCTCATGTTCCTCAAGGAGAAACCTTTCTTGAACTTGGGCTTGGCAGCAGCGTGGATGGAGACATCCTCCGAGCTGCGGGACTGCCCGTAGGAGGAGACTTTGTGAGCCTGCACCTGCTGGGCCGGGGTCAGGTAGCGGCTGGCGCCCAGCGGGGCGTCCATGCTGTCCAGAGACTCCGTGGAGGTCTCCTCCTTCCTGGTGACCTCCCGCCCGTAGGGGACGTGGCAGTTCTGCAGCCCCACGAAGGGCACGATGTTGTACTTGGTGGGAGAGTCAGACACGAACACCCTGCTGACCTCCAGGCTGAAGATGTCCAGGAAGTTGGCGGTGAAATGGTGGGAGAAGGAGGTCTCTGCCCCGGGGGTGTCGTAGTGGGGGTTCTCCTTCAGGAACTGGCAGAACTTCTGGGCGAAGTCCACGGCGGCTGCCTGGGCGTGCAGCTTGCAGAACTCCCTCCAGTCGGGGAGCGGGGAGGAGGGCTCCTGGCACAGGGCATCGCCGTTCATGGCTGCCCCATTCCACCTGCCGGCGGGCTGCAGGGTGAGGACACGGGCTGAGTGTGGTGTGGACATGGACACAGACTGTCCCCCAGAAACATGGGCATCCCATCCTGTCCCCCAAAAACAGGGACATGGACAACCCAGTCTGCCCTCCCACATGGGGACATGGACAACCCAGCTTGTCCCCCAAAACCAGGGACATGGACAAGCCAGCCTGTCCCCCAAAAACATGGGCATGGACACAGACTGTCTCCCAAAAACAGGTAGATGGACATCCCATCCTGTCCTCCAAAAACAGGGACATGGATACAGACTGTCCCCCAAAAACAGGGACATGGACATCTCATCCTGTCCTCCAAAAACAAGGACACGGACAACCCAGCCTGTTCCCACAAACAGGGACATGGACACAGCCTGTCCCCCAAAAACAGGGACATGGACACAGCCTGTCCCCCAAAAACAGGGACATGGACAACTCAGCTTGTCCCCCAAAAACAGGGACATGGACAACCCAACCTGTTCCCCAAAAACAGAGACATGGACAACTCAGCCTGTCCCCCAGAAACAGAGACCTGGATATCCCATCTTGTCTCCCAAAAACATGGACATGGACAACCCATTCTGTCCCCCCAAAATAGGGACACCGACAACCCAGCCTGCCCTCCCAACCAGGGACATGGACAACCCACTCTGTCTTCCCTCAAATGGGGACACAGACAACCGACCCTGCACCCCGAACAAGGGCATGGACATGGACAACAACCCTGACCCCAAAATGGAGGTCACCCCTTGCCATGATGCCAGAACTGATCTGCAGCTCCAGTGCAAAGGAAAATACTGTGGGAAAGTGTCTGTGTGTCGCTCTCTCTCCACTGCATCCACTAGGAAAGAATCTTGGCGCTGGCAGCAGCCATAAATTGTATTTATTTCACGATTATGACCATGCAAAAGCATTATTGATTTCTCATGAAACCGCTAAGGAGTCCCCGAGTGTTTGCCTGCAGGATTCCTCTCACTCTGTGTCTGCCTGGCCATGGCACAGCTCTCCGCAGGGGGAGGGAGCACTGGGAGTCCTGGAAGCATCCACCCAGGGCAGCACCCTCCCCTCTGCACCCCACAGCTGGTCCTTCTCTTTCTCTCCGCTCTCTATTTCTGCCCTCATCCTTTGCCACATGAGTTTTGGGATTTTGCTGTCCCTGCTGAGCATCAGCTGACAGAGAAGTCAGGACAGGTTCTCCGCAGAGGCCCATGAGTAGGTGGGGTGCAGGGGGAAAAGGAACAGAAGCCAGACCCAGGAGCACAGCAGAAGTTGACAGGAGCTGCAGAGCAGACCTGGGAGCCCTTGGGACAAGCATCACTTGGCCCAAACCCCACACTGGTCCTTCTCCCAGTGGCTGTGAGACTGTGTACAGTCCAGGTTGGCGTTCATATTGCACTTCCCAAATCTCTGCCTGACTCTGGGCAGCATGAAGATCCTCCCCTGGGGGACCCCAGCAGTGACTGCATCTCAAAATTCACCTGTCAGTGCCAAAACTGCTCATGGCTGCTGGTGCTGGTGGGCCTTGGCTGGGGCACTGCTGACCCCATGAACCCAAACATCTGGTCCCTGTGTCCAGACACCTTCCTTCCTCCACTCCAAGGGCAGCAGTTTGGCAAATCCATCTCAGCTGCTCAAACACTGGGTGCCTGTGGGATCCAGTTCTGGAAGGGCAGGACAGTTCCCCCAGGTTTTGCTGCTCTCCATTCACAGAGCAGCCCCTTCCCTGAATTTTGCTGCTCTCCATTCACAGATCAGCCCTTTCCCTGAATTTTGCTGCTCTCCATTCACAGAGCAGCCCTTTCCCTGGGTTTTGCTGTTCTCCATTCACACAGCAGCCCTTTCCCTGAATTTTGCTGCTCTCCATTCACAGAGCAGCCCTTTCCCTGGGTTTTGCTGTTCTCCATTCACACAGCAGCCCTTTCCCTGGGTTTTGCTGTTCTCCATTCACACAGCAGCCCTTTCCCTGGATTTTGCTGCTCTCCATTCACACAGCAGCCCTTTCCCTGAATTTTGCTGCTCTCCATTCACAGAGCAGCCCTTTCCCTGGGTTTTGCTGCTCTCCATTCACAGAGCAGCCCTTTCCCTGGGTTTTGCTGTTCTCCATTCACACAGCAGCCCTTTCCCTGGGTTTTGCTGTTCTCCATTCACACAGCAGCCCTTTCCCTGGATTTTGCTGCTCTCCATTCACAGAGCAGCCCTTTCCCTGGATTTTGCTGCTCTCCATTCACAGAGCAGCCCTTTCCCTGGATTTTGCTGTTCTCCATTCACAGAGCAGCCCCTTCCCTGAGTTTTGCTGCTCTCCATTCACAGAGCAGCCCTTTTGCTGGCGAGGGATTACTCCTGCTAATAAATCACGCGCCGGATCCCACCACAGCTTACACGGCCAGTAATTAATTACTGCTCTGATGAACGGCACCAGCCAGGGATCAGGGCGGGCACTGGGGACTGGCATAACCCACTCCTTATCCTCCAGACCCCAGCCATGTCAGTGCCCAGACCCAGGCAGGGCTGGGCCCTGAAGGCTGGGATTCAGAGCAGCAGCTGTGGCCAGGAGCTGGTTGCCATATCCCCAGCACATCCCTACAGAGATGAGTTCTCTGGGAACACCTCCATCCCAGAAAAGGGCTCTCAAACCCCCCTCCAAACACTGAGAAACCCACACAGGCAACAAAATCCCAACACAAACATGATACATGTGGCATTTCCTCACCTTTAAGGCAGGGATTCTGCTCAGTGCCCTGGCTGTGCCAAGGAGGCACTGAGGACAGGCTACACATGGGCCTGCACTGGCTCCTCACATCCCACAACACCAGCAGAGCTCCAGCTCCTGCAGAAATCCCTGGCAAAGCTCTCTCCAGCATCACAGGGATTTCCCAGAGACCTGAGCAGGGATCCATGCCAGCTGGGAAAAAACCCATCCCTGCAGTTTAGGAGCAGCCTCTGAATTTCCCCGAGAGACATCAGCACGGCAGTAGAAAATGCAAAGCTGTTTGTTACCCGCCCAGCAAATGAAATTCCTAATTATCCATCCATCACCAAGCAGAGGATTTAAAGACTCTGCCCTTTGAATTGAAAATTCACAACCCCAGCTCTGCCATGGCCCAGGAGCTGCCCTGGCACCAAGCCATGGGCCGGGAGTATTTGGGCTCAGGGAGAAAAGGGAGATGAAAAGGATTCTCCTGCTGCCAATCCAAGCAGTCAGAGCCAGAGCAAGGGAGAGGGTGCAAAGGGAAAAGAGCAGGAAGGGGCTTGTGGGGGAAAGAGAAAGCCCCTTGGTGATGGGTTTATTTACATCTGCCCCGGGGCTCTGCTGCTTTCCCTCCCATGAATTTGGGGGAAAACACAGCTCCCCATCCCACCCTCCAGGAGGGATTGGTGCTCAAGGCCTGCATGTCTGAAACCAAGGGACCGCAAGCTAACAGACTCTGAGGGGTTAAGGGAAAAAAAAAAAAAAAAGGAAGAGTAAAAAAAAAGGCACTTCAAAAAAGATAAAGCCCCAAACAAAAAGCCTCAAGGAGATCCAGGCATGGCAGCCGGGCTCCGGCTCGGAGACGCGCACGCAGAGGCATCACAGCATCTTCCTTTCATCTGCACGGGGATGACAGACTTTAAAAGGCCAATTTATAAAAATGAAGCCTAGAGGAGAGACATCTGGCAGGTCTGAGGAGGCGGCGGCGGGGATTACTAACCCTGTGTCACATATCCAGGATATCCAACCCCCCTGCCCGGAGCACAGCCAGGATCCAGCAGCACAGGCTGGGACTCAGTGGGGTGGTTTAAGGGCAGCCCCTGGGACTGCAGAGCCATCCCCGCCCCTGATTCACCTGATTTCTGCAGGAAGCAGGCTCCCAATTATCTGTGTAGATTTACCTTTAATCTGGATGCCTGCACTCCCCTCCATACCAACAGCTCTGCCCCACTTCTTGAAATAACTTATCATGCCACAGACAGCATCCCCGGGCAGAGCGGTGGAAGCGGAGACCAAAATAAGCTCACGATGAAAATAAGCAGCAAATCTGCAATTGCTTTTTGGAAAGGGCCATCCCCTGCCAGCCCAGCTTCCTGAGGGCTGCAGCACACTCCAGGCACCTTTCTAAAGAGCCAGATCCCTTCGGAAGTACCCACAGCCCACTCCAGAAGTGGCTCAGGGGCCACAGCCTTGAGTCCTTGAGTCCCTGGCCTGGGTGACACAAGAGGACAGAAAAATAAATATATAAAATGGGGTGGTTTGTTGTCATGAAGAAGCCATGGAGTGGCAAGCACAGCATCAGGCTGGTGACAGGCTCCTAAACCACCTGCAGGAGCAGAGCTGTCCCTGCTGCCTCTCTCATTTGGGAAACTGAGTCAAAACTTAAGAAAAGAAGACAAAAATAAAGAACTTCTGGGGTTTGCCAAGTGGAAACCCAGGCTGGGATGACAGGTGAGAGCCAGCTGCTGGCAGTGATTTGGGTCTCCTCTCCCACCAAGGTGTGCTGAGGCATCCCCTGCTCCGGAGCGGGGGGGGACACATAGAATACTCTGGAAGTGGAAGCAAAGCTACTGACCTCAAGAAGAAATGAAATTTAAACTGTCAGCAAAAGCGCAGGAGACCATAAAAAAACAACTCCTCGGTGAAGCAGGAGTCAGGGAGCAACAACAAAGCCACCGGGATTTGCTGAACCAGAGGCGTGGGGAGGAACCAGCATCTAATGAGGTGTTAATAACCCGAATGCGCAACGCCGGTCATGGGATGGCCAGCACAGCCTGCCCAGCACGGCTGGCTCTGATGGCTTTATTTAAGGAAACAACGCTAATAAAGAGATGTTTCCCTTCCGCCCAGAGCGGCACAGCCAGGCTGGGACAAAGTGATCCGAAACTGAGAGGGGGAAAAGCACGGTCTGCCGAGAGCAGCGACCTGAATCCATCCATCCCTCCCTCCACCTCCAAGCTGAACCCCCCCATCCATCCATCCCTCCCTCCACCTCCAACCGTGCGGGGAAAACGGCAGACAGCAACGGGAAAGGAAAAGGCAGCGCAGGAGGCAAAGCCTGGCTACAGGACAAGGAGATGCCAGCCCAGCCCCGGCTGTCTCGCTCCTGCTCGGTTTCCAGCAAGATCGATGCCACTCAAAGCCCCAGCTGGTCACGGCGATCCCGCGGGAATGACATGAGGAAACCCAGGCACCTGCTGCCCCAGAAAAGCGCCTGACCTAAGCGTGCCGTGCCAGAGGAGATCCCCGAGTCACGAGCAGGGCGCAGAGCAAGGCGATACCCCCGGCCCCCCCAGGGGATGCTGCTGGCAGCGGCTCCGACACACGGGCAGCTCCTGGAGCCCGTCTGCACAAAGCCCAGGCACTGCCTGCCCTGGGCACACGGGACTACGAGGGTCGTTTCTTGCCCGTTTTCTCTTTTGAAGATGTGTCCTATCAGCATCTCCACCCCAAAACCTCGTCGTGGGGAAGGGGAGAGCAGGGCAGAGCGAGCAGGCTCAGACTGATGGCAGGATATCAGACCAAGGGGACACCCTTATGTCCAAGAGGAGGAAAGGTTCATTTCTTGCCCATTTTCTCTTTTGAAGATGAGTCCCATCAGCATCTCCACCCCAAAGCCTCATCCTGGGGAAGGGGACAGTGGGGCAGAATGAGCAGGCTCAGATTTCACAGTATCACACAGAGCTGTGGAAACACCCTTATGTGCAAGAGGAAGAAAGGTTCATTTCTTGCCCGTTTTCTCTTTTGAAGATGAGTCCCATCAGCACCTCCACCCCAAAACCTTGTCCTGGCCACCCAGCACTACTGAGCGCTTTGGGGCATCCTTTTTGAGAGCTGGGCTGCCCAGTGGGACCCCTCACAGAAAAAGGCACCAGGAGCCTTTTCACTCCAGAAAAATCTTTTTTCTGGGGTGAGGGATGAGGGATGCCAGGAGCTGATCTCCCCCCATTCCACTGCTGAGACCTGAAGGCTGTGACCAAGTGACCTCCTCCCTTTGTCACCTCAAGGACCCTTCCCAGCCCTCAAGACCCACCAGAGCTTTAATGGCATGCAGAGGCTGAGGAAGAGAAAACCATAGGGGACAAAAGCAGAAGTCACCTTTTGCTTTCACACCCCCCTGGACCCCTGACCACAGCCCTGGTGTGGGAGAAGCTGATTTCTCTCCATGCTCCTCAGTACTCCATGCACTATTTATACTATTGTGATCTTAAATCAGACTGCCTGTCTGAACCAGATAGAAATGGAAACATTCCTTGTTCCTCTCATTTACTGGCCATCCCACTAAAATATTAATTGAACAGCATTTTGGCCTTAAATTTTATAGTCAAACCACCTGCCTTGAACCAATCCCTCAGCAGGAGCATGCTGTAACTCCCTGCCCAGATGCACTTCAGGGTCCACCTGTCACCTGCAGCTTAGAAAAGATTTTTCTGGAGTGAAAAGGCTCCTTGTGCCTTTTTCTGCTGCCCAGCCCAGCTCTCAAAAAGGATGCCTCAAAGCACTCAGTAGTGCTGGGTGGCCAGGACAAGGTTTTGGGGTGCAGGTGCTGATGTGACACATCTTGAAAAGAGAAAATGGGCAAGAAAAGAACCTTTCCTCCACACATAAGGGTGTCCCTACAGCTCTGGGTGATATCCTGATTCCAGCCCCACAGGAACCAATGCTCCTGAAACTGAGCAGATGGGCCCATGAGAGCCCCCAATAAAACCTGAGATTTTCTCCATCTCCCACTACTCTGACCATACCACAGGGTTGTTCCTCTGCCTCCCCTCCAAAATCCCCCACAGTGGATGTTGTACTTCCTGCGCCGACAGCTGCTGGAAAATAAAGACAAGTTCATAGATAAGATCCACTGGATCTTAGATAATCTTTTCTCTGAGTAATTCCATCCAGCTTGCAGTGAGCCACTCTGCCAGCCCACACATGGGGCTGGAGCATCACCCAGGCCACCCAACCTGCTGGTGTTGGGGGACCTGGGGGACACCTCAGGGTCCCCAGGGTGCACTGACAATGATCAGCAAAGCTTTGGTGCATCATAAATGCAGCTTAGGGCTTGGAGGCAGTGCGTGGGAATAAAGCAGAGACACCCCCTCAATGCCCCAAAGGAAAAGCTATTGGAAAAAGGAAATAAATGAAAACCCCAGAGCTTTGGGTGAAGGAGGTCAGAGGCTGCTGTCCATTCCCCCTCACTCGGGTGCCACCTCACGTGCCTGTCTCCAGCCAGAGAGCTTCCCACAGAAAACCACCCAGTCCAAAGTCTATTTTTAACCACCACAATAGCAGAGCCTTCCCCGAGGAGCAGCAGAAGCCCTGTCCCAACCAAGCAATCTCACATTTCCCTCGCTAAGCCTCGATTTCCTTCCGCCTCTCAGCCCACAACAAAACCCTTCTCCTCCTCCTCTCACCTTCCCATCCTCAGAAAACTATTTGCACATCCCTCCATGCCCCTGCAGGCTGGTGTGCTGTGGGTGCAGAGTGTCCTGCACACCTGTTACACATTAACCACTGACCTGGCACCTGTGGGCAGACCCTTCCTGCACTCAGAAATGCCAAATTGGAGCAGGAGGTTCACCTGCTCAGCCCCCTCCCCTGGATGCGCCCCAAATTCTGGGGATTTACAGAAAAAGCCCTGCAACATCAACCCAGCTGTACTTCCCAAAGTGAGTGCAAACTCTTTAAAAGAGATTATTCTCTCCCTGGGGATTGCTGTGCCATGGAGGAGCTCTTTGGGGGTTTTTGGGGAGAGAGCTGAGTGGGTGCTCAACAAAGCAAATCCTGATGGATACAGCACTGTCATCACTGGGGATCCCCCACCATTAGGTCAGAGAAACCCCTAAGATTGTTTTTCAATTAGAGCACATAATAAACATGAGATAAAATTACACAGTTCTGTAGGAAATTTTCTTATTATGTTTTTTTTTTACGTTGCAGATCTAATTCCCCACACGCATCACTGTCTCATACCCGCCTGCAAACAGCCTTAAACTGCTGCCTAATGCTATCTGAGCTGGGGAAATTCAATTCTACCCAGCGCCTCACCCAGGACTGCTACAATCACTGCTAATTGCTTAAGTGGTGTATTAAGCAAAATAAAAATTCCAGTGGGCTTTGAACCACCCCCCCATCTCAACCAGATGATGCCAAAACACCCTGTTACAGCTGCCAGCCCTGGCTGGAGAGCCAACCTCAAATACCCTTCTTCTCTTCACTGTGCAGGGATGCTCCTGGGCAGGCAGAGCTTTGTACCCAGCACGGCCATGACCACACCAGAGGGATCCACAGGCTGTGTTTGCCTTTGCCACCCCTCTTGCCAGGGTTCTGGGGTGCCATTGCAGTCCCAGGGTCCAAATGCTGCCAGGAGCCAGTGAAGCAGGGCACAAACATCTGCCCAGTGGGACCCTGGGGTGGATGCACACTGGGTCCTCTCCTGTCCCCCCACCTGTGGGTGTGGATGGATGTTGGGCTCATCTCAAATCCAAACCCTGCACAAGAGCAAGCAGATTCTCCAAAGCCCTTCTGGTTTTCCCTTTAGCAAAAATCAGGTTTGGGATGCAGTTTTAGGCATGTTCTCTCCTCCTCTCCACCATGATGGAGCCAACTGGGATTGAATCTCTCTCTGGGAGCACCCAGGTTCCCTCTGCCTGCACAAGGATGGGGATCACTGAGCCAGGGACAAGTCCCCAGCCCTATCCCAGCACCTCACTGGCACCTACGGGCAGGGAAAGCAGCTGAGGTCAAGTGAGGGCAGCCCCAGGCAGGAGGGGAGTGATGCAAGAACCTCAGGGCTGGAAGGACTGCCCTGGGGCATCCCAGCCAGCCTGAGTCAGCAGGGCCAGCAGATGTGCAACCATCATCGGGTTCCTCTGCTTCTGCTGGGAAGAAGAGGAGGAGGAAGAGGAAAGGCATCACCGAGCAACATCCTCATCCTGAAGAGATGGGTGTTCTGCCTCCAAGGAGGGAGGGCAAGAGGAGGCTGGACAGGACCACACTGCCATGAGGGTGGTCACAGTTCAGGAGAAGAGGGGACAGATCTCAGATCAGCCAGAAGAGGTGGCCCTGCAGTCAAACAGCCACTGCAGCCCTGAACCAACTGAGGAATGAGGGGATTTTAACCCCAAAGCCTTGACCAGACAGGGCTGACTCACCCTCCTCGATGGCACAGGGTCACTGAGCTGGGTGAGACACCACGCAGGGCTGGCAAACCTGTGTGCTCCCCAGGCTGCAGCAGAGAGGATTCTGCAGCCTTTTAAAGGAAACACTCAGCCCTGGGCTCCTCTATGTTACAGTGATGGTGAGACACTGGGAAATACCACAGAAGGACACAGAGAGAAGGTCCAAGGGCACTTGCCATCCCACCTGAGCAGATCTCCTGGCAGCACACACCCACCTGTCTGTACAAATGTGCCCTCCCCCAGGGAAGGGGGGCTGAGCAGTTCAGAACTGCCTGTGTGCTTTAGGAGGATGATTCCTATTTAGAAAGGCATCCCCAGAAATCCACAGTCCTTCTCCACTCTCCCAGCAAACCAAACCAAAAATCCTCATGGAGGGCAGTTCTGAGTAATCATAGAATTGTTTAGTTTGGAAAAGACATGCAAGATCACCCAGTCCAACCATTCCCCCATGTCCCCTAGTGCCACATCCACACCTCTGCTAAATCCTCCAGGGATGGTGACTCCACCACTGCCCTGGGCAGCCTGACAACCCTTTCAGCAAAGAGATTTTTCCTAATATCCAACTAAACCTCCCCTGGCATAACTTGAGGCCATTTCCTCTTGTCTAGTCAGCTGTACCTGGCTACAATTTCCTTTCAGGCAGTTGTAGAAAGAGAGAAGTTCCCCCCTGAGCCTCCTTTCCTCCAGGCTGAGCTCCCCCAGCTGCTCCTCGTCCACTCAAAGCCACAGGAGCAGGGTCTGTGGGGGTTTTGGGCAGGGTGCAGGGGGGACAGGGAGGTTTTACCTCCTTTCCCGTTCCAGTTCACAAGATCCCCGAAGCACCGGCAGCGTGGCTCTTGCAGGTCAAATGCATAACTCCAACCGATCAATTTCCACACTGGAAGGAAGTACCAGAGCGACTGGGAGGGAGGGACCTGGAAGGCAAAGGTTTAGGCTGTCAATGCCTGGAGCCACAGCAATATCCTCAGGCACATCTCACCTCCCCCAGGCCACAGTCCAGCAGGGCTCGGGCCTGACTTCACCAAAAGCAGAAACAAGCAGGAGGGCCGGGCAGAAAGTCCCTGAAGCCTCCCCAGGGCCTTCCCGCGGTGCTGCCCACAGAGCAGGGCTGGCTGGAGGCAGCAGCCGCCCCTCGCCGTGCCCGCGGCGATGCAGGGCTGAGCCCCCGTCCGGAGCCCCCTCACCCCTCACGCAACGCCAGGCAGACAAAACCGACCGAAAATAAGAGAGCATCCGTGCAGGGGCTGCATGTTGTGTGTGCCCCCTTCGGGTCTGCTATCCCCGAACCCTGGGGGAAAACAACCCATGGCTGCAGCCCCGGGGAAAATCCCATCCCCAGAGCAGCCCTCAGGGCCGGGAGAGCCCAAACCAAGGCAGCAGCCCCATCCCTAGAGCCGAAGGAGCCCGCATCCCCGGAGCGGCCCTCAGAGCCGGGTGAACCCAAGCCAAGGCTGCAGCCCCTCTCCCACGGGGCAGCCCCCATCCCCGGAGCAGCCCCCAGGGCCGGGGACAGCCCCCACGGCCGGAGGAGCCCAAACCAAGGCTGCAGCCCCCATCCCCGGAGCTGCCCCCAGGGCCGGGAGCAGCCCCCATCCCCAGGGGAGCCCCAGCCAAGGCTGCAGCCCCCATCCCCAGAGCAGCCCCCAGGGCCAGGAGCAGCCCCGCTTCCCCTGAGCAGCCCCCAGGGCCGGAGCAGCCCAAACCAACGCTGCAGCCCCGCTCCCCTGGAGCAGCCCCCAGGGCTGGGAGCAGCCCCCATCCCTCTGAGCAGCCCCTATCCCCGGCAGAGCCGCAGCCAAGGCTGCAGCCCCGCTCCCCCGGGCCGAGCCGGGTCTGCCCCATCACCGCCCCCCGCCCCCGCGGGCCCGGGGCCGCCCCGATGCTCACCGGGGAGCGGGGCTGGCCCGGCCCCGCCGTGCGAGGGGAGGGGGCGGCTCGGGGACCCTCCCGAACGCTCCGCGCCGCAGCGGCGGGGGGCGGGAGCCTCCCCCGGCCGGGGGAGCCGCTGCTGAACGGGGGAGCGGGGGGGAAGAACCGCGAATAAATCCCCGCCTAAATCCCCGCCCGCCGCTGCGGTGCCGGTACCGGTGTCGGTACCGGAGGATGCGCTCACCCGGCCCCGCTCGCTGCTCGGTTCGCGGCTCGGCTCGGCTCGGCTCGGCTCCGGCCGGCCCGGCCGCCCCCCGCCCCGCCGGCAGCGCCGCCCCCCGCACCGCCCCCGCCGCCTTAAAGGGCCCCGCCCGCCCCGCCGCCCCCGCCCAGCGCTCCGCGAGGGGACCCCGGGGACACCGAGACAGCCCCGGCCAATGAGGGGACCCCGGGGACACCGAGACACCCCGGCCAGCGAGGGGACCCCGGGACACCGAGACACCCCCGCCCCGCATGGGCTGGCCTGGGGCCGTGCCTGCCAGAATGCCCCGAATAACACGGGGCACCCCAAATCCTCAGGAAAAGCCCTTAATCCTCGGACGGGCTCCCCAGCCCTCCTGGGAGCGCTGCAAATCTTTGGGCAGCGCCCTAAATTTTCAAGGTGTCAAGTCTTCAGGTCCCCGAGATGCTCGAGATGCACAAATCGTGGCAGGGCTCCCCCGTGCTCTGAAGGGGGGCTGCTCACTGCTCACCCCATCCATCACCCAGCATTTGTCCTTGCAGTGCCCAGGGGAGGGGATTGGGGTGATCCCCCCACACCCACATCCCCAGTGGGTGTGACTGGAGTGGTTCCAGGGGGAGTTTTGGGGTCTGGACCCACTGCCCACCTTTGTCATGCTGCTGATGCATTTTGGACACATCCCAGAGCACTTTCCCTGCCAGGGGATTCAGACTGAACCCCAGGACAGGGTGGGCCAGGATGGATCAAGCTCCAGGATAGGGGAACTGAATCCCAGAGGGGTTTAAGGGATGGATTTGGGGGTCACACTGCCTCTGGGATCCTGCATAGCCCCCCAGCCTCCCCATGGCGTGTCCATGCAGGGATAGGGATGAGTCACCATTAAAAAAAAAAAAAAAAGGGAAAAAAAGGGATTTGCAGGAGGAACAAATCCTTTTTACTTCTGTAAAGCACCTGTAGGATTAAGACAATGCTGGTTATATAAGAGGTGGAGAAAGGTGGATTTCAGCATTAGTGTTATTATTAATATTTATTTATTATGCTTCCTCACTGTCCCATCACCCTGACGAGGGTATTCTGGGGAGATTTGGGGAGAGGCTGGTTAGGGGGAGAAGAAGGAGATTTGTTGTAGGGCTGGCGCAGAGTGATGCACCATTTGCTTTTTCTTCCCCCAAAGCAGCAGGGGCCAAAGAGGACAGTGCAAAAGCACAACTGGGACAGGGATGGTTGATCTTCTCCATTATGGCTCATTTGTGATGATTTTGGGTGGATTCTCTCCCTCCTGCTTCTGGCTGGTCACATTTTCAAGGCCAGGTTGGACAGAGCTTGGAGCAACCAGGTCTGGCAGAAGGTGTTCCTGCCCATGGCAGAGGATGGAACGAGATGAGCTTTCAGTTTCCTCCCAACCCAAACCATTAAATGTTTCTGCCATTCTGTGATTCCCTTCCCAGGGGCATTCTGGGGGTGAATGGATGCTCACAGAGGGGCTGGATCCCTCTGCTGAGTGCAGGTGACCCTGGGCCACCCACCTTCACCCACCTCCCACAGCAGCTGACAACGCGTTTCCACTCCCCTCCCTTCCCCTGCTGCCTCCTCTGAAAAGCCTCTCTCTCATTCATATCCATTTTTAAAGAAAACACACAATCAATAGTCTCTCAGGCTGGAATTTCATTAAGGTTTTCATTGCACTCGCTATCGATTGGCAGCAGGGCTGGGAGCTGCACGGAGCTGATGCTGAGCCCTGCATGCTCTGGGACCCCCCAGACCATTCTAAAGGGAAAGGGCCGTGCAGAGAGGGTCTGGCTGCTCCCATGCAGGCAGCAGAAAGCCCAGCATCCCAGATTTTACTGGATTTTACCATCACTCACAGCAAAACCAGGAGCCCAGGGTAGGGCTGGGATGCTGGGGTTTCTTTCATGAACCAAAACAAAGGCTTTGGTGCACAACAGGCTCTCTCCTGCCTCCCCTCCATGGGATGCTGCTTGTTCCAGGCTGTGTAAAACCAGGCTGGAATGCTTGGCCTTGCTTCCATCAAACACAGGGGCTGCAAGTAAAGAACACCCAGAGCTCTGAGTGTGGAAGGGCACGCTTTGCTCCCCTGCCGGTCGGTCACTTGGAAAATCAAGTGAAAAATCCCAACCTCTAAAAGGGCTCTGTGGGCTAATTTTAGGTCTGGGCCTTGACCAGAGAGATTTACAATAATTGCCAGGGTGAAAGTTTAACTTCTCCCGTGACTTTTCTCAGCAATCCCCAAGGAACCGCGTTCTGCTGTGCAAGGAGCATCCCCGGGCCAGCTCCCCAAATTGCCTTTTTAAGGCTTTTTTTTAAAGCCAAACCCACAGGCTGCTTAAGCAGGACAAAAATCCTTCACGAGTCCCAATCTGGAGCTGGTGGGAGCTCCTGTGGATGGGGATGAGCTTTGGCTCAAATCCTTGTCCCCATTTTTTGGCTGTGCCAACCCCTCAGACACAGAGCAGAGCCCCCATGCCCACTCCTGTTCCCTGTTCCCACTCAGCCCTAAACCCTTTTAACAGGACCCACGAGAGGAGCAAAGCTTGTGGAACCACGGCCTTTCTACTGTACTAAATGATTTAAAGCTGGTGGTGAATAAACTGAATATCTGCCCGCTCCTGCCAATTCTCATTACTCCGGGACTCCCTCGGAGCGATTAGCTGCCTTAAAAAAAAAAAAAAAAAAAAAAAAATTGCTGGAAGGAATCGAGCGAGTGGCTGAGCCAGCGCTGGGGAGGGCTGCTGGCAGGGCAGCATCCCGGCTGGAGCGTGGCGTGCCCTTGAAATCCTGAAATCCTGTGCCCGGAGGCATCCGGCATCCGAGTGGAGCCAGCCCGGAGCTCCGGCTCCATCCTCACCACATCCCGGGGGGCTGTGGGGGGATCCGGGGAGCTGGCACCGCCGTGCTGTGCCTGATTATCCACCAAACCCTCGTGCTGCGAGCCACAGCACCCCGGTGGAGAGGGGAGGCTTGTGAGCATCCCGGGAAAAGCCTGGAGGGCAGCGCCAGCCCGGCCGTGAAGCCATTCCAGGCACGGCAAAGCCGGGTGTGTGTGCGAGCTGTCAGGCAGGCAGACAGCCCCCAGGCACCTCCCGGGCTGTCACAGCTGCAGATTGTCCAGGAGCAGTCCCTAATGGGATGTAAGGGGAGGATTTGTTGGAGGGAGATGTCACGGGGATGAAAGGGGGAAAGAGAGGGAACCTGGAGAAGCAGTGGTTTGGGTTTGTGCTTATTTGCGGAGGAGAAATTGTTTTAAAATGTCCTTTGGTGTGCTGGAGAAGGCAAACAGGCAGTGACAGCGCAGCCACGGGGCTGGAGGAGCCTTCACTGATGGGAAGACCTTGATGTGCAAATTCCCTGCTCCTCCTCACCCTGCATCTCAGGATTTACCTTTGAGAGGGAGCAAAGCCCTTTCCTTTCAACACAAAATCTGTGTTTAATATTTCCTCTGTGACCTGAGCTTTTTCTTCCCCAGAGTGTTTGTGCAGCCCTGGATGAGTGTTGCTCTCCCAGGATGACCTCAGAGATGGACAAGCCCAACCACAGACCAGAACAAAGCCTGAAATTCCTTGGGGGAGGATGTAAAAACTGAAAGGGATGCAAAGCCAGCCCCAAAACCCATCCTCATCTCTCTGTGGGATAACCAGGGGAGTCTGCATGGAGATGGACAGCACCAGCTGAGGCAGGAGGTGGTCAGCCAGCTCTCAGCATCAGCCCACCCCACACCCTTTCTGTGTGCTCACAGCCTGTCCCTCTCCACATGATGGCTATTCTGTGCTCCAAACATCTGTCCAGGGTTGTGTTCAGCGACCTCTCAGTGTCTGACTCAGACGGGAGGGAGAAATATTTGGGGCTGATGAGTGGGGAGGGAGTGCAGTCTCACTGTCAAGTGGAAAAGGGTTCAGGGCTTGATCCTTCTGCATCCCTGATGGTGCTGGGGAAGAATCAGGA